AAATTACAATTAATATTGATAGAAAAAAAAAGAAGCCATCTTTTAATTTTTTTCTATCAGTATTAATACTCCACGACAATAAAGTACCGTTTCTGAAATCCTCGCTCTTGACCTGGCCTACCTCAAAGGGCTGATCCCTTTTAAGGAATTGCATTCCACTCCGGATATTATTATTATTATTATTATTATTATTATTATTATTATTATTGCTGTCCCTGTTCCTGTGATTGTTATTATGTACGTGCCACTCCACTCCCAGCAAATCAAATATTAAAAACATTTAGGAGGATGAGTACAATCATAAATGATTATTTGTTATTTATTAATTATCATTATTAATTATTATTATTAGTCTCTCATCATTTACCTCTTCAATAAGAGAAGCCAGAGCAGCTTGTACACCGATGTCCAACGACTGGATTCGGCCAATGAACACATCTCGCCGTTCGCACTGTTGGAGGTTCAAGGAAGATGGTCAGTATTTTCCTTCTCTCTTTTTTAAAATCAATTTATTCACCATGAGTCTATCTCGAAGCAAAATGCATAGAACCTTATTTAATGAGATTATCTAGGAACCTGGAACCAGGCAGTAGACAATCCTTACGCCTTTGTTGTACAAAAATAAGTTTAAAGCAGGTCTAGCCCCAATCGTCGTCCGTGTTATCATAATATGACCGGTCGATCTTTCTATTTCAGTGATTTTTCCAGCGCGTTTGCCAAATATTCACATCCTTGCTACTATCTGTCTGGCGGCAACCGATCAGGAAATGAACAGGTTACAATCCCTTCCAAAGTTGCTGTGCAATTAAAAATGTGCTTGGGGGAACAGAGAGGAAAAAGCAAAGGGTCATGATGGACGGGTAAGACTTGCATTAAATAATGTAAAAGTAATAAAAAGATGGATTGACTGATCGTTATTTCTGGGTCGTTTTACTGAAGATTCTGCAAGCAGACCGTTGACTGTCGAAAGGGAGCCTTTTTGGATCGAACGTTTTTCTTCTAAATCAACAAAGCAGTGATTCCCGGTGATTGTAATTCTTTATATATACTAAAGAATAAGTATATATAAAAATACATATTTTTCTTAAATATCTAGTATACTTCATTTACTAAGTAATACTACTTACTTAATGCTAAGTAATAGTATATTTAGTTTCCTATTCTTTAGGATATATAATTTTTATTATTTCGAAACAAAGATTAAAAACTAACAAGAACTAATATAAAGTGAAGGAAAGAAAGAAAGGGAAAAAGGAAAGAAAGAAAAAGGCTGAAGTGCAAAAAGAAAGAATGAAAAGGAATAGATTTTCTTTTCAGCAATTATAAGTACACAATTGCCTCTATGGTTACCAGGAAAAAAACTCTCTTTTTTCTATTATCTATTTTTTTCTAATCAGCAAACCCGGTGATTCTTAGTCAAGGGGCTGGATTCCCACCACCTACCTGAACCGCACTTCCCAACAACAGCCGCATCAATTTCTTCATCTCCCGAACGGCCTGCGCTGAATCGAAAAGAGCAAGGTTAAAAGGGTCGGGACCCCGCTGCGTGTGGCTTTCTTGCCATCCTTTCTCCTGTCCTCAGATTGCCACTCTCGTTTTCCTGGCAAAATCCACAGCTGAGGAAGAGGCCAAAATTCAGAATGAAAAGAAATGGAAAGAAGGCTGGGATAGTAATGAAACGATGATAATGATGATGATTTAAATTTAAATGTATTAAATAATGTTCTCCTTTCCAGATATATGGATGGATGGACGGATGGACGGATGGACGGATGGACGGATGGACGGATGGACGGATGGATGGAGGATGGAGGATGGTAGGTATGTAGGTATGTAGGTATGTAGGTATGTAGGTATGTAGGTAGGTAGGTAGGTAGGTAGGTAGGTAGATGGATGGATGGATGGATGGATAGATAGATAGATAGATAGATAGATAGATAGATAGATAGATAGAT